AAATTAAATTAAAAAAAAAAAAAAAGAGGTCGGGTTAGCAAAAAAGAACATGGCACCACTTGAAATAAAGCCAGGGAGCTCCCAGTAGCACACACAGGGAGGTCTCATGGGTCTCCACATCCTGGAACTGTCCTCAGGAGACATCAGAGTGGGGACGTGGGGAAAGGGCCTCCCCAGGAGATGCTGACAAAGGCATAACTCATGGAAAGTAAAAGCAGGTTTTTTGCCACTACCAACCTGCAACTTGGCAATGGCCCTTGACAAAGGAAGACATGAGGACCACCAGCCTTAAGACAACACTAGAGCTTGAGGGTGAAGACCACACATCAGTCCACTTTTTTGTTGAGATGTAATTCACATACCATGAAATTCCCCCTTTTAAACTATACAGTTCAATGGTTTTTGTACATTCACAAAGTTTTACAACCATTACCACTATCCAATTCCAAAACATGTCATCAGCCCCAAAATAAGCCCATGATATTAGCAGTCACTCCCATATGCTCCACCTTCCAGGCTCTCCGGAACCATTAATCTAATTTCTATTTCTGTGGATTGTCTATTCTGGACATTTCACAAAAATGGAGCTATATAATATGCTGCTTTATGTCTGGCTTCTTTCACTTAGCACATTGTTTTCAAGGTTCATGCAAGTTGTAGCATGTGTCAGTATTTCCTTCCTTTTCAGAGCCAAATGATATTCCATTGAACAGATGGATATACCACCTGTGTTTATCCATTCATCAGTTGATGGGTAGTTGAGTTGTTTCCCTTTTAGCTATTATGAATAATTATGCTATTAACATTTGTGTACAAGTTTTGTGTGGACATATGTGTCCAATTCTCACGTGGACTGTGTTTTCATACATTCCTAAGAGTTGAATTGCTGGGTCATAGGGAAACTCTAAATTTTGGAGGAAGTACCAAACTCTTTTCCAAGTCAACCACACCATTTTCCATCCCCACCAGCAATGTATGAGGGTTCCAGGTTCTCCACATCCTCATCAACACTTGATATTGTCTGTATTTTTTATTATAACCACCCAAGTGAGTACAAAAAGGCACTTCATTGTAGTTCGATTGGCATTTCCATAACGACAATGACGTTGAGCATCTTTTCTTTTTTTTTTTTGACGTTGAGCATCTTTTCATATACCTATTAGCCATTTTTATATCTTCTTTGGAGAAATGTCTATTCAGATTTTTGCCTATTTTTTTGAATTGGGCCATTGGCTTTGTATTTTTGAGCTATAATTGTTCCTTTTATATTCTGGATACTAGACCCTTATGACATTCATGATTTGCAAATATCTTCTCCCAATCTGTGGACTGTCCTTTCACTTTCTTCAACATGTTCCTTCAAGCACAAAAGTTTATTTTGATAATTTATCTTTCTCTTTGGTTGCCTGTGCTTTGGTGTTGCATCTAATAATAAATCATTGCTTAAATCAAGGTCACCAAGATTTATACCTGTTTTCTTCTAAGAGTTTTATAGGTATAGCTCTTACATTTAGATCTGTGATCCATTTTTAGTTAATTTTTATACATGGGATGAGATAAAAGTTCAACTTAGTGCGTTTGCATATGGATATCCAGTTTTTCCAGCACCATTTGTTGAAAAAACTATTCTTTCCCCACTAAATTGTTTTGTCACCCTTGTTAAATATCAACTGACCATAAATGTAAGGATTTATTTCTAGACTCTCCATTCTAACCCACTGTCCACACATTTATTCTTAGGCCAATACCACACTGTATTTGGGTTGTTTTCTTTTCTTTTCTTTTGCCTCCTGCCTGCTGTCAGAGAGATCCAGTGTAATACCATTGTCTTGATTACTGTACACTTGCAGTCAATTTTCAAATCAAAAGTGTGAGTTTCCTACCTTATTTTTCTTTTTCAAGATTGTTGTGGCTATTCTGAGTCTCTTGCATTTCCACATGAATTTGGGGATCAGTTTCTCAATTTCTGGAATATTGTTAGGGATTGCCCTGAACATGTAACCTTACTGTTCCATTTTTATCAACATCCCCAAAATGGGATTCCTCCTTCAAACAACCTGTGTTGCCAGTGCCATTCTGTCATATTTGGGATGGAGCTTAAATGCTAATGGAATGGCTTTAAAATCAAATTGTGATTATCAAAGAAAATTCTACATATTCTCATACCTTCTGCAAACCATAGATCTCACTATCATTTTCCTTCCTGGTTGAATCTGACTTCCTAATCTCTAGTACACTGAATGAAAGCTGTGCCAATGTGTACAGCTTCTAGCAGAAAACTGGCCAGGCCACTAATATCTCAGTAGGGTGGGCAAGACATGGGGAGCCCCAATCACAACGCAAATACTCTCCTTCACTTCTTGGTTCTCCCTAATTCTGCTCACCACCTGGGATGCTCTGAAACCTCTTATCAAGAAGGGACTGACCATGACTGCCAGCTCTGAATACAAGGTACCCGGGACAGGTCGGGGAGCCCAAGGGAAATAGCAGAAGGGCAGAACTGAAAATTTAATAGGAGCTGCCATCTTGAAGATGTGGCTGAACTAAACCAACAAGCTCTTGATCACGTAAAGATAATCTGAGATTTCAGATTTTAAAGTATAAAAGCTACACTTTCTCTCTGGCCAAGAAATACAGTCTTGAAGCCTAAGAAAACATTCTCTGACATATGTTTGCACAGCGAAAAGTTTAACATGTGCAAGGGCTTTTCAGAAACATACAGAGACAAGTTGAATCTCTTTAAGAGAAGTCTCTGGAGGCTGCCCATGTCTTACCAGGCCAGCCAGGACTTCTGAGAGAGAGAAGTTATCTGGGGCTGGATCCAGTAATAATAGCAAAAAAAAAACCACATTGGGTCAGGGGATGCTCACACCTAGAGAGTAGGAAGGGAAGTAGCAGAGAAACACTGGCCTGGCAGAAAAGACCAGGTGGCGCAGGGCAGAGACAGGAGGCCATCGTCCCTATAAACACCTGATACACCCTGGGAAAGGAGGTTTGTCACTTCTGGTAAAAGCACTTGAGTTGGAAAATTTGCATCAGCCAAAATGCTGGCGTTACAGCTGGATCTAAATAACACACACTATGTGTGTCGGTTCTAATTATAATTAGTCGGTGAAGGCCAACAAAATGATCAGTGAGGTAGGCATTAAAAATGCTGGCTTTGGCCAGAGAGCTCTTAGCCTCGTTTATGTGGGCTATTTAGCGTAAAGTGTAAAGATAAAACACTCTCTTACCTCTTAACCATCCATAGCGCTACTCAATCCACCATCCAAAAGTACAAATAAAACAACCAACCCATAGCAATGAATGATCAAAAAATATAAGAGATTGAAACAGTCCTTGGGGGAGAGAGGGCTCATCTGATATGCTCTAACATTTTAAAGGGAAATGAAGGGGAAAACCCAGAAGTCAGTGAAGGAGAAACCCACTCCCTGCTCATCAGTTCTCGGGCCCAGGGTTTAGGATGCGCTTGTTCGCTCTCTCACTCCCCCGGGAGGCTGCATGTTCACCAGAGGCTCCTCATCATTACGATTCAACTTTGCAAATCCCCTGCAGAAAGGGGCAGTTGCCGGAGCACACCAGGTACCTAAATCATGTATGCTGTTTTGGGAGAATGAGACCAACAAAGGAAATGACTTTAGCAGAAAAAAATAATTGTCAGAAGAAACAAATAAGGAAGAATTGTGAGTGGGTTTTCTTTCCCCTTTAATGACAGCAAAGGGACCTCAATACCATGGTTTTCGGGGAGGAAAAAAATGGCCAGACAAAACCCAACAAGTGTTCGGTCACATTCCATCATTGGCAGGAAAGCTGAGCTGTTCAAGGGCAGTCCCACCTGAACCTAAGACTCATTCACTAACTGCACAGTCATAGGCAGGTTCCTAACCTCTGTGAGCCTCAGTTTCTCCCCCTGTAAAATAGGGATAATAATACCTTCCTGTAAGATTATAGAATATTTAACACAATGTTACATGTAAAGGTCTTAGCATGGTGCCCAGCAGACAAGTGCTTGGTTAACAGAAGTGGCTTACCATCACGCTTATGGCATTGCTGTTGTGAGGAAATATGGCATATACTATACAGAGGGAGTCTGACACGTAGCCAGGTACATAGTGAGCATTCAACAAATGGCAGTCCTTTTTCTTATTCGTATCATGACCTTGGACATCACTGGCTACTTACTGTGCAGAACTAGCATCAGGGCAGCACAAAAGCAGGACATCCTCCAATTCAACCCTCATCTGAACGTGTCATTCAAACTCAGGCCACCTCTGCTAGTACTTGTGGGTCAGGAAACCTGCTCACAAAACCCCAGTTTCTAAAGGACAGACTCAGCAAAAATGAGGAACAGTGGCCACACAACACACACTTGAGCACATGCCTATACACATCTATTTACACAAACTCATTTCTAGAGGAACTTCAAAATGTATCTATTCCTTTGTAGTTCTAGGAATACCCAGTATCAAACAAGAAACTATAAAGGGGAGTGAAATAAGTGAACGGCTGCTTTCTTTATTCAGGGAGTAGGAGCTAAAGAGATGGGGGAAGGGGTTTACAGAGCAGGGTTTTCATGCAGCAGGCTGTGAGCCAGCAGAGAGGGTCTTGACCAACACTTTTTTAGTTAATGAGAATGGAAGGGAGAGTACTGGAGTTCCTCACAAAGATAGGAAAAGCAAAACTGGTTTGTGAAGTTTTGTCTTGGTTGTCATGTGAATTTTTGTGCAGGTCATAGTTAAAAACATTGCATGATGCCGGCACAGAGGACTTGGCTCCTGGCAGGGAAGCCCGAGCGCACACTGTCCTCCTGCCACATGGCGTGATGGGGACAGCCAACAAGGACACCCCTTCCAGTGTTTACCTGCTACTTCGGGAGGGACAACATGACCCTGGTACTATTCTCAGACAGCGGTCACCAGGTGTTAAATTAATGAGTGCAGGTAAAAGCACTTGGAGCAGAGCGTGTAAAGCACCAGAGCAGTGCACATCAAGCGCTTGGAAGAGTGCAGGCAAAACGCTTGGCTCAGTGCACATGAAGCACTGGAGCAGAGCATGTAAAGCATGAGAGTGGTGCAGGTGAAGCACTGCAGCAGTGCCTACTGCAAAAAAGGGGCTGCATAAGTGTTGGCTGGTATTAGGCTCACGAAGGCTGAGTGTATGTCCACCTCACTAAAGTATTTAGATGTCTGTTCTGATCTGAGCACCTCAAGCCAGAGAACACACACACAGATATGAAGTGGGACTGGGGAGTGGAGCCTGGCTCTGCACAGGGCGCCTGTGGCCCTGAACCACAGGGTTATGGCCAGAATCCTCACCTGTGCAGACAGGTCAAAGGTGCCTTCAGTCTGGATCCCCTTGTGCTGCTCCCAGGACCCTCCTCAGTCACTGCAAACATCCCAGTGTATTTCTGCTCCTGGAGTTTACCAGATGTTGGAGGAGATTAGCTAGTCAGATGGTTGCTCTAACTGCAGACCTCTCTGATCATTAAGAATATGGGTAAAAGCAAGAATAGACTAACAGTTGCCAAAGGGAAAGGGACTGGGGGGTGTGGTAGGAAGGGAAGGAGAAGGGGAAAAGGGGGCATTATGATTAGCAAACATAATGTAGGGGGGGTCACGGGGAAAGCAGTATAGCACAGAGAAGACAAGTAGTGACTCTATAGGATCTTACTACACTGATGGACAGTGACTGTAATGGGGTGTGTGGCGGGAACTTGATAACGGGGGGAATTAAGTAACCACAATGTTGTTCATGTAACTGTATATTAATGATAACAAAATAAAAATAATACAATTAATTAATTAATTAAAGAATATGGGTGAGAGAAGAAGTGAGTTGGAGATAATTATAAAAATTCAGCCTGTTGAAGCTAATGTGATACCAATATGACAGACTCAGTGTCATTTCAAAAGATAGTTTTGAAAGGGTCACTCCAAACAAGATTCTTGATGACACTATTTGTCTTTTTTTTTTGCAAACACACACACACACACACACACACACACACACACACCCCTGGCTACTGTGAAATTTTTGAGGCTCTGCATCAAAGAAAACATCTATTGAGGTACATGCCATACCTGGAGTGGCTGAAGCCACTTAATTAAATGTCTTGGGCTTCCAGATTCCTGGCTGCACCACCAAAGAGCCAAAAAATGATTCCACCCTGGAAACAAGGACAACACAAACCTTTGTTAGCAACAGTCACCAATTTAAGGACAGCTAAACCCACTGGTCAAACACCATTCAAGGAGCATCTATTCAGTTTACTGAGCTTTACACAGCCCCCCTGGGGGCAGGGCACCCAGGCCTTCCCCTCACTGCCTGTCAGGCCCCTGTTCTTCTCTGCAGACATAGCTCCTGGTTCACTCTCTTGGGGAGGCCACCCCAACACCACAGAGTCAGTTCTCCATCCTGGAGGCTGCCCAGTTCCCCCCATCAATGACTGTTCTGAACGTTCTGCCTCAGTTGCTCAGGGTCCAGCTCAGTGGCTGCACAGAGACGATATGCCACAGCCTGCTCATGCACTGCTTCAGGCGCTGATTGCAGCATGCTAAGGCAAGCCCTCCCATGAGGAACAGGCAGCTGGCAGGAGGCTGGATGAAGAGGAGACACTGCAAACTGAGCAGGCACTCAGCTTGGGAGCTGAAAACCTGGGCTCTGGCACTCAGCTTGGGAGCTGACGGCCTGGGCTCAGGCCCCAGCTAAGCTACCTACTGGCTGTGGGACTCGAACTAATGACATGGTGGCCTCATTGTCCACATGTGCTGTGCAGTCCAGGAGCACCTCTGCCTACTGAGCACTCAGACTTCCAGGCACTGAGCTCCCCGACACAAGCTCACTGGTTCCCACGAGAACCCCGGGAAGCACACAACATTGCTCCCACTTGACAGATGAAGACACAGAGACTCAGAGAGGGAAGTGACCTGCCCAAGGCTGCACCCCGAGACAGTGGGCAGGGCTGGGGTTCACACCAAGCTACCTAGCACCTAACAGTACTACATAAGGTTGCTGTGACAATTTGGTGAGGGTCAAATGCCAAGCACTTTGCGCCTGATGTGTAGAATGTGTACAAGTGTTTGTGCACTGCTCCCAGGCGCAGACAGCAGCCTGCAGAACTGCACTTTTATAAACCCTGGACAAGTGTTGCTGACAAGGAGGAAGAGGAGGAGGAGCTAGGGAAGGAGGAAGAGAAGACAGGATGGCTCAGGTAAGAAGGGAGCATTTGAAGGGAGCAGGAGCCTGACTGCAAAGACAGAAAAGCTCAGGTGCACAGATTTTTTTAAATTTTTATATCGATTGCTTTTTTTTTGGTATCATTAATCTATACTTACATGAGCAACATTAAGGTTACTAGACTCCCCTCATCATCAAGTCCCCCCCCACAAACCCCATTACAGTAACTGTCCATCAGGGTAGTAAGATGCTATAGAATCACTACTTGTCTTCTCTGTGTTGTACAGCCCTCCCCGTGCACCCCCAGCTACATTATGTCTGCTAATCCCTCCCTTTCCACCCATCCTCCCCAGTTCATTTCCCTCTGATAACTGTTAGTCCATTATTGGGTCCTGTGAGTCTGCTGCTGTTTTGTTCCTTCAGTTTTTGCTTTGTTCTTATACTCCACAGATGAGTGAAATCATTTGGTACTTGCCTTTCACCGCCTGGCTTATTTCACTGAGCATAAAACCCTCTAGCTCCATCCATGTTGTTGCAAATGGTAGGATTTCTTTTCTTCTTATGGCTGAATAATATTCCATTGTGTATATGTACCACTCTTCTTTATCCATTCATCTACTGATGGACTCTGACGTTGCTTCCATTTCTTGGCTACTGTAAATAGTGCTGCGATAAAAATAGAAGTGCATATGTCTTTTTCAAACTGGGCTGCTGCATTCATAGGGTAAATTCCTAGAAGTGGAATTCCTGTGTCAAATGGTATTTCTATTTTTAGTTTTTTGAGGAACCTCCATACTGCTTTCCACAATGGTTGAACTAATTTACATTCCCACCAGCAGTGTAAGAGGGTTCCCCTTTCTCCACATCCTCACCAACATTTGTTGTTGTTTGTCTTTTGGATGGTGGTGATCCTTACTGGTGTGAGGTGATATCTCACTGTGGTTTTAATTTGCATTTCTCTGATGATTAGCGATGTGGAGCATCTTTTCATGTGTCTGTTGGCCATCTGAATTTCTTCTTTGGAGAACTGTCTGTTCACCTCCTCTGCCCATTGTTTAATTGGATTATTTGCTTTTTGTTTCTGGAGGTGCATGAGCTTTTTATATATTTTGGATGTCATCCCTTTATCGGATCTGCCATTCATGAATATATTCTTCCATACTGTAGGATGTCTTCTTGTTCTATTGATTGTGTCCTTTGCTATACATAAGCTTTTCAGCTTGATATAGTCCCACTTGTTCATTTTTGCTTTTGTTTTCCTTGCCCGGGGAGATATGTTCATGAAGAAATCGCTCCTGTTTATGTCCAAGAGATTTTTGCCTATGTTTTTTTCTAAGAGTTTTATGGTTTCATGACTTACATTCAGGTCTTTGACCCATTTCAAATTTACTTTTGTGTATGGGGTTAGACAGTGATCCAGTTTCATTCTCTTACATGTAGCTGTCCAGTTTTGCCAACACCAGCTGTTGAAGAGGATGTCATTTCCCCATTGTATATCCATGGTTCCTTTATCGTACATTAATTGGCCATATATGTTTGGGTTAATATCTGGACCCTCTATTCTGTTCCACCGGTCTATGGGTCTGTTCTTGTGCCAGTACCAAACTGTCTTGATTACTGTGGCTTTGTAGTAGAGCACATTGGGAAGCAATATCCCTCCTGCTTTATTCTTCCTTCTCAGGATTGCTTTGGCTATTCAGGGTCTTTGGTGGTTCCATATGAATTTTAGAACTATTTGTTCCAGTTCATTGAAGAATGCTGTTGGTATTTTTATAGGGATTGCACTGAATCTGTAGATCCCTTTAGGAAGGATGGCCATTTTGACAATATTAATTCTTCCTAGCCAAGAGCATGGGATGAGTTTCCATTTGTTAGTGTCCTCTTTAATTTCTCTTAAGAGTGTCTTGTAGTTTTCAGGGTATAGGTCTTTCACTTCCTTGGTTAGGTTTATTCCTAGGTATTTCATTCTTTTTGATGCAGTTGTGAATGGAATTGTTTTCCTGATTTCCCTTTCTGCTAGTTCATCATTAGTGTATAGGAAAGCAACAGATTTCTGTGTATTAATTTTGTGTCCTGCAACTTTGCTGAATTCAGATTTTAGTTCTAGTAGTTTTGGAGTAGAGTCTTTAGGGTTTTTTATGTACAATATCATGTCATCTGCAAATAGTGACAGTTTGACTTCCTTACCAATATGGATGCCTTGTATTTCTTTGTTTTGTCTGATTGCTGTGGCTAGGACCTCCATAACAGTGGGGAGAGTTGGCATCCCTGTCTTGTTCCTGATCTTAGGTGAAAAGCTTTCATCTCCTTGCTGTTAAGTATGATGTTGGCTGTGGATCTGTCATATATGGCCTTTATATGTTGAGGTACTTGCCCTCTATACCCATTTTGTTGAGAGTATTTATCATGAATGGATGTTGAATTTTGCCAAATGCTTTTTCAGCATCTATGAAGATGATCATGTGGCTTCTGTCCTTCTTTTTGTTGATGTGGTGGATGATGTTGATGGATTTTTGAATGTTGTACCATCCTTGCATCCCTGGGTTGAATCCCACTTGGTCATGGTGTATGATCCTCTTGATGTATTTTTGAATTCAGTTTGCTAAAGGTGCACAGATATTTTCTATGTCTGAGGTCTTAGTCACTCAGCCCCAAGTTTCCTCTGGGAAGCTCTACCCCATGAACCAGCCCAAGTGGTTTGTGGCTGATGTTGGCCTCCATTGCCAGCTTTAGGACCCAGGACTGACCACTCTGCATATATCATGGCCACAGGGATGGCTTCAGGATGGACCCATGATCTGGATGGGTCCAGTCAGAGTGGCTGTGGGGATATATGGGTGAGCCAAGCTACTAGGGAAGAGAAGCCATCTCCTTTTGGAAGCAATGGAACCTGGAAAGAGTTCCTGGTGCTGCCAGCTGCTCTTGCCATAACAAGAAGAGGTGAATGAAGCCAACACGTGGGGGTCAAGGTGGGGAGGAGACAGAGATGAGAGACAGGAGAGATCAGGTCACACACACCCATGCCTGAACTCTGCCACACTCTGGCCTCTGCCATCACAACCACCAATACGTGCCTGCTTTTCCTGGGGTCACTGCACTTGACTCAGCCCCAGTGGACTCAGTGACCCCAAGAAAGATCTTGCAGGGAAATGGCAGGAACGGCATCTTTCCAGCTGCCCATCTGAGAGCTGTCATCAGCCTCTGTGAGCTGGTCCCCGCACTGCACATGTGATCAGCCTGGTGCTAACAGCCAGGAAGGGTACTCCAACTACTTCAATGGCTTGACCAGCAGAAAGGTTCTGCCATGACAGGTGAATTGCACTAATAACCTGTGACATGGGAAGAGCTCTCATTTGGAGAATCATAAAGTATCCTCGGAAGATGCTTAATGCCCTGATTGCTCACACCCTTCTCCACAGAATCCCTGTGGGGCACTGCAAATTGCATTACTAATTCCAACCCAGGAAAATGGAACCAATCCAAATAGACATTTTTTCCCCTAAACCATCTTGGAAATCAAGTTAAAGAAAACTTCTTCTAAAACTCGAACAAGTTGAATTTTCCACCCCTAAATCTCTGGCTGGTGGTTAATTACGTTCTTTACAGTAGATTCCTTGCCTAGGTTTTCAATCCTTTCCGCCTCTGTGGAAAGAGGGTGGGGGAGAACTAGTGTCTCACCCACATTTTGATTAAGTGCCATTAGGGGGAGCACTGGACTGAGTGTGTGAATCCTGGAGGTTTGCAGGAATCTGCAGCAGCTAGCAGAGGCTGTATCTATGTGACCTGTCTTGCCAATGGGTTTCAGCCCTGGGCAAGTTTACTAGGGATTCAATGTGACCAAAGAAATGACAGTAGAGCACTCTTGGGGTGAAAGGGTTATACCCAACTCTATTTCCGCAGTGGCAGGTCAGTCACTAAAATCTCATCCACTCAGAGCAAATCGGCATGCAGCAAGCTGGTCTCTGCCTCTGGGCCTCTCTGCCTGCACAG